ATCCAGACCTTTACGTGTCACTCAGCCTTGAAGGGCACCAGCATGTGGCCTAAAACTCTTCTTCCCTGGGATAATGAAAACGTATTTCTCATTTCCAAAGACAATCTCTTCCTGTAGAGTGCAGTGGTTAAGTCACATTACTAGAGTTTGAATCCTGGATTCCTCACATGCTTGCTAAAACACACATTATTTAATATCTCTAAATTTCAGTAGTGTGAATAATAATAATAATAATAATAATAATAATAATAATAATAACAACCACCATGAATTTCCATGAAGTGTAAGTATGATAATCCACGGAAAAGTACCTAATACAGTGCCTGGCACATGGTATGAGTTTAATAAATGCAGGTATCATTATTATCATCATTGTCGTCATTGTCATCACCCTCACATCTCACCTAGCAAGGCCCAATATTACGCTCTTATTCTTTAATTAATAGTTAATTTTAAAAGACTATTTTACTTTTCTTCTTTTATGTGAGTCAAGGACATTTTTTCACCCTAGAACTCCCCAAAAGAGCTTATCAGATCTAGAATCCTGTGAAATCTGATCCCATTTAAACCCTTGGCCTTAAGTGATTAGAAAAAAAGTCTCTTCCAAAGATGCAAGATAGATAAAGAACAGTGCAGGCATAATCACCACCTTATTTTAACATGTGAAAAATCCAAGAAAACATATGCATTAAGTGAGGTCAAACGAGGCAAATCTAGGAGCAACTTGCGGTGGGAGCACAGCAGGAAGAGGGAGTGAAACTGGGAGGAGCCTGGCAGCTTCTTCATTTGTCCAAAGCAAAGATTACTGAATAACTGGGAAACTAGTGGTGACGAGTTTCATTCATTCACCAAAGTTGTTCTGAGAACCTTCTATGAGAAAGGCACTGAGGTAGAAAAGGGGGTAATTAAAAACATAAATTAAATAACTCCCAAGAAGGGGATCATCTGCTTGAGAAGATAAAACACATTAACTACTATACCAGGAGACAGATGGAGACAGGCATCATGAAACAATCCTAGTGAAATTATGTGGAGATTCAAGACAGGACTGATCCTGGGGAGCTAGGAGCAACTCATCCAATATGCTGCCCTTTGATGATGTGCCTGAAAGACCCCACCTCCTCCATAGCACCTTTTACCACCTTTATTATAATGGAAGAGATCCATTCACCCTCCTCACTGGAGAAAGGCAGGAGAAGAGCACAGCCTCTGGAGCTGGATGGCCTGGTTCAAATTCAATTCTATTGCTTACTAATTGTGGGACGTTGGTCAATTCGCTTAGCCATGCTGTGCTTCAGTTTCTTCTATGAAATGTGGATAAACCTAGCAGCTATCCACTAGGCTGCTGTGAGAATGAAAGGAACTAATCTAAGTGCTTATCCCAGCATCTTGGACATAGTCAACGTTAAATATTACACAACGCTACACTGAGTATTAGCTTTTATCACTGTTATCACAGCAGCATGCACACAGTAGGCATTCAGAAGTGTGCTGAATGACTAAACGAAAACATGAACAGGGCTGGCCAAGTGGCGAGTTGGTTAAGAGCTGGCTTGGGACGCCAGAGGGCCCCGGTTCGGATCCTACATATGAGGGTCAGTGACACTGCCCTCTACAGCTAAGATGCTGAACAACAGCTCAACCTGGAGCTGGGCTGCCGTGAGTCGCTGGCGACGGCGTAGGCTGCAGCCCTTGCTGCAGTGGGTTGCCATGGGCTACTGTGTGTAGCCAGCAGCCAGTGTGAGTGGCCAGCAGCTGCCGTGAGCAGCCGTCCAGAAGCCAGTGACTGATCTGCCTCGCCCGGGAAGAGCGCAATGATGGTGCCAGCTTGGGCCAGTGAAGCAACGTCCTCCACAACAAGACTGAAGAACAAAACAACAGCAACTTGTCTGTTCCCCTTTCCCAATAAAATCTTTAAAAAGAAAAGAAAACACGAACAGAAGATGTTGCAGTTGAGAAGAGGACACGGAACCAAATTTCATAAGCCTGAGGAGCTAAACTTGAGGACATGCCTCTTAAGAATCATTTGACGATTTGGACATCCTATTCCATGTCAATTCTAGAAATTAGTCATCACTGTAGGAAAATAACTTCATAATAGTTGATAGCTTTTGATGTTATAGTAAATGGAAAAAAGTTTACTCTGTTTAAATGTTCTGGAAGCCAAGCAATTCATTAATAAAAGGGAAGCTAACATTTCAGGGCTGGAAGAACACCTATTAACTGCCTAGAGGATGGGCGCTATGACCTTTAAAATACAGTCAAAAGCAGTGCAGCCAAACATAGACATAGCATGAGCCTCTCCCAAATGTTCTTTTAAGTTATTTTAGTTTACTGGAAGCCATTTTTAAAAGAAGGATAGGGAGGAATCACAAGAAGGTAAGTATAGCTGCTTTGGTTAAAAATCTTGTTAAAGTCCTAATGCATGAAGCAGAGAGGTCAGGTTCAAGTGATAAGCTTTCAGGTCTGTCTGATAATCATTTTGTCCATGAGGCAGGTGTCCTTCTTCTATGTCTTGCATGCCAGGCATTCATTCAATTGAAGTCCACCAGCAGACTGTGAGGTCTCAGCTGTCTACCAATCCACATTCGGGGTTCTTCACAATGCCTACAACTTTAGGTTGAAGCCCTCACATGAGTCCAAAGCCCCCAGGGAATAAGATGGATACTTGTGTTAACCACATTGCCGAGATAACATTTACCATTTTATAGGCACTCTTATAAAAGCTGTGAGACAGAACTTGTTCTTAACAACACATTGTAACTCATCTTAAATGGTATCCTAAATGCAACTTAAACTTTTCTCAATGTCCAGCGGTTATTAATGAGAAGCTCTCTCCTGAATTGTGTCTGGCAAGTTATGACTGGCAGAAAGGGACCTCCTCCATCACGTGTATATGTTAAGTTCCCGATTCCCTTTAGCTAAGTATACAAAATGACTTAGCAAGTTAAGTCTCTACACAGAGCAGGAATATATGTAGTATTACTGCAACTTGGGTTTTCTCTGGACCAGTGGTCTCGAATGAGTACAGCCCTTCATGACACCAGGTAAATGTTTTGTCAGAGTTGAGAACAGAGCTGTATGCTAGGTATGTTTCTGCTCATGTATCCTCAGGTATAACGCCATCAGTAATTTTCAAAGTCCTTACCTGGACCATCTATGCCCTTCCATTCACAGAATGTGAGAAACACTGGGCTGTCAGGTTGTTGAACCAAACTCGGTACCAGCAACACGGCAGCCTCTTCTGGAAAGCAAGAGCACAGGAAGTGCCAGGCGTCCCTGCTTTCAGCTTCCTAGTGCCCTGGAAATGCTTCCCTGCAGTGCCCACCTGACACTGACACAATGCCATTTTACCTGTGGTCCAGGGACATAATCACAAATCCATTCCTTTTCCTTTATTCTGTGCTTCATGCTTACCACTCTAATCTTTTCTGGGCTGGGAATTAGAGGTTTATTAAAAAGGTTTACAGAAAAAAATTAATTGTTTCAATAATGAAAGCCTGAGAGTTCCTTTCATGCATTTAAAATTCAAGCACTTTGTAACATCTATTTTGACTGCTTATAGGTTCTCAGGTAAGATTGCTGGAAGTCAAGTTCAGGATAAATAAGATGTTCCTGTGGTACTATTGCCACAGGGTACTCTGGGAGAGAATGGCATTTACTGAGTACTCTACGCACTTCATTCACCTTGAATGCACTTCCTCCAATATGGTTTTTTCCTCGCAGATCTCTATTCACCTACAGCCTTATCTGTGAGGCCCTTCCCAGCCACCTGTATGAAATAACTCTCCACTTCTGTCTTTCTCTACACCCTGTCCCCTGCTTCCTTTGAAATCATAGCATTAACAGGCTCTTGGCACACACGTATTTATTGGTCTATTGCCAATCTCTTTCCACGAGAATGACAGCTGTATGAAGTAGTTGGCTTATCTGTTTTGCATAGGTATTTGATAAATATTCATTGAATTAATGAGCCAAGCATAGTTACTTTAAATATTGTGTCATTTTAATCCTCCCCACCCTACAAGTCACGTGTTTCAAGTCTTTTCACAGGCAGGGAAACTGAAGTTAGTTACTACTTTGAGGGCATGCTATCATGGTTCAGAGCATGGACCCTTCCACCAGACTGCCTGGCTTAGGGCACAGCTCAGCCAGGGCCCACCTCTGTGACACTGGGCAAGTCACTGAGGCTTCTGATCTGTAAATGGCAATGATAATAATAGTACTGCTTACGGAGCTGTCAGGAGCCTATACGTATACAAAGCTTAAACAGTTCATGGCTCATAGTAAGCGCTAAACAGGAGTTAAAGAAATACAATCTTAGCTGAGGAACACCTTATGAAAATGACAAAGTTTCTCACTCCAATTTCATACTCATCTAACAACTTCCTCATGATAGCTCAGCTTTCCGGCTCATCCGTCTACAAAGGAAGTGCACATGTGGTTACTCTGGCCTGTGTGACACAGCTACCTATCTCTCATCAAAAATTAATCAATCTGTGAATCTTGTTTAACGTGCTAACAAAATCAGCGTTCTGAGCCAAAAAGACTGACACCCAAACCCAGACAGAGTCACCAAGTCACACCTTGGGCAGTTGCTTAGCAACCTCCTAGCCACCTTCTCCAAACAATACAACTACCCATGACATAAGCTGCTTAACTAGGGAGAAGGGAATGTCATTGCCTAAGAAACCCTGTCTCTAATCAGCAGAACATAGTGAGAGATTGCAGGTGGAAGAAGCCAGGCCAAAGTGAGTGTTCCGCGAACAGGTGCCCTCACACACGTCCACTGCACGCACGCATGCGGAATGGTGAAGTAACCGCAGTCACGACCTGCTTGTGCAGGTTTCTCTCAAACCAGGAGATGGGATGTTTCACCTCACAAAGGGCTTTCAGCCCTCACTTGAAGGGTTGAGCCCAGCGTCAAGGCCACAGCAGCCCCCAGGCACTCAGCAGCCTTCCCCTCCCGCCCCCTCCCAGCCACTCCCTGGTGTTGTTACCTTGCCCTGATGATCATGTTTCATTTCCCAGCCCCTCGGCAGCTCCAGTTGTTTGTTTGCGAACATGTTGAGGAATCCCACAAGGTCCCGGTTATGCTGGTAGCGTTCAAAGTGGTGGGTGTCCCGCCGGACTTTGGTGATCATGTGCTTCAAACACGTGTTGTTTGTAAACATGCGGTAGGCACTCTGGTAAAAAGGATGGAGAAGTGCTGTTAACCCGGTTGTGACATGTGAAAGCAACATGTATACTACATGAGGGTGTATCTAGCCTTCTTATTGGTCGGTATATAGGCATCAGCATAACTCTAGACATGCACATGGAAACAGCAGACAGAGCAAAATACTTTGATCAAAATAATATAGAAAGACCATAGAAAGTAAGGTTGTCTTCACTGATGATGTCTAGGTCTCTAGTGAACAAGGATGCTGTGGAGTCTCATTCTACAGGGGATGTTAGGTCCTACAGCTGGTTTTGGTTTCAGGCAAAAAACCCACCAAAACCAAAAAACCAAAACAGTCAAAAATCACACCAGGCTAGAAACAAATATAGCTCACAGTGAGCCCCAACACAGCCAGTTTTCCCTCCAGCACTGGAACAAATGATTGGTTCTTTGGGAGCGTGCCAGATGAAGCAGTTGGCATACATTTAGAAGTCAAGTTGTAGGGAAAAAATGCTTGGCCATGTATTTGAATAAGAGAAGTGCATGCGATGGGCTGAGTTGCTCTCACAGTTGAGTCATGTTCAGCTGAGACCACAGTAGATTGAGGCTTTTCGTCTCACACCTTCTTCGAGGCATTAAGCTCAGTGAATGGAATGGTAGACAGAACTTCCTAACTATATACCTTGGCATGTTTTTTCTTTCTCTCTCTATTGTTCCTGTGTTCCTATGTGGCTGAATTTATATGATTGAAATGCACACTTAATAAAATTCCACTACACGACCACACAAAAAAGTAATTATTTGTCAAAGACACTTCAGTTTTCATCTCTATAATACTCAAAGAAAATTCTAAATATTAACCATAAGTCATGGATTGTTCACATAAACAAGTCAGTCAACAAATATCCACTGCACAATACCACGTGCCAAGGATTAGAACAGGAATACCTATATGGAGCCATTTCCTTGAATCATGAAAAGGAATATGATATTCATGAAACTGACTAGGCTGTGGATGACCCATCTACCCTGGAATTCTGTTCTCAGATTCAAAGGGAGTCTCTTACCTTTAGTGTCCACTAGACTGAATCTGGATGCTTTGGGTTTTACTTCATGGGTTCTGTTATTTATTTCAGTCTAAGACAAACCAAAGCAAATCCGAAAGAAACCAGAATCCCTAGAAATCATTTCATTGAAATAAACATTCGCTGTCTTTGCCACGTCTAGTACGGTGGCAGCTACTGAGGATGCAAGATGAATGAGTATGAGGACTATCAACACTGCTTCTAATTTTCCAGGGTCCCTCAAGAGGTGTCATGTCCAGGTCTAAGCATTTATTATTGATGTGAGTCCCTTTAGAGCTTTCTTCCCTTTGGCACAGCAACTGACAATGACTGAAATGGTATCTGCTCCCCAGTCTGGGCCCCTGGGTCATTGAGTACCTACAGAGATCAGAGAACCTTGACAACCCAATTTGGAATGTGAAACAAACCTTTGTTAATGTAAGCCAGTTACTTTTGCCACTAACGTTTGCCATTATTGACATGTAACCTAAACTTATAAAATAACTATTATATAGTTATACTGACTGATTCACCATCATATACTTTTTATTTTGCATTAAAATACTTTTCCCTATCAAAATGAAAGGAAGGAAGGAAGGAAGGAAGGAAGGAAGGAAGGAAGGAAGGAAGGAAGGAAGGAAGACCACATTGAATTGTCTTCAAATACTAGTGTACTAGTCCCTTATTCCACCTGAGTATAAAATATTTTGAGGTCCTATTTCAACCAGACAGTCTAAAAGAGGTGAGGAGGTTTTGATGGCTGTGAGAAGTTGTGAGGTTCAGAGCAGAGAATACTGCCAAAGCAGGCAGGCCTACGCAGGGGCTCTGGGCAATTAGAGAGCCTGGGAGAGTAAGAAGAGGAGACTAATAAAAGAAGTCGAAGATTGTCAGAGACAAACGTGAGCTAATTAATAGTTTAGCCTGTGGCCGACCCTGCCTTCGAGTTGAACATACAATCAGCAAGGCATCTGTTTTTCACATTTGGCTCTGTGCTGCTGATATATTATCCCAGAAGCCATTGCAAGCTTAGAGGCCTGAGACCACACAAACTACGTGGAGGTAATAGTAATGAACTTTCAAGTCATACTCCCTAATAAATCTCTTTAGGGACAAATTATTGTGGAATAACTGTGTCAGATAAATCATTAGATTAACTGTTGGTCTAAATAGGTATCTCTCTGGCCCCAGCTCACTTCTCCCTCCCCCCATTAAAATACGTAAATAGGCCACATCCCGATTCTTTATCTAGAGCACAGAAATGCTCCTCACTCTACTAAAGAAAAGAAGCAGAACTTCGTTAGGGCAAGCAGTAATGGTAACTAAGTGAAGGAACCCATCCCAGCCTCAGGCTTGAAGTAATTCCATGGGGTTGGGCAGCTCTTTAAGCACAGGAGGCTTAAGGCTGGTCTAATAATTATGTCCTTTCATCTTTTTCCTCTCTACTCAATGAGACATGTAATATAGTGCCAAGTTCCAGTGATCTTTGCAAAGATATCTACCAAAGTAAATTAAGCGCAAGAAAGATTTTTCTCATTAGTAACTAGCAAACAATCTTTAGAATCACAGGTTTTTCAAGTCTGAATAACATGCACATGACTATTAGTGGCCATACAAAACACTTCAGGACAACAGGAGCATTCCTCCAGCAATTTTGTTCAGCAAGGATACTTATACTCCAGTTCATACAGAGCTGTGATAAAAATTCTAGTCACAGCCCTATCACTCACTCACGGACAGAGACAAAGAAAGTCATTAATTTCCACCTCAACATGCTCAACTGTAAGATGGGATAATAATAACTACCCTGCTTTCTTTTTTTTAAATTAAAGTTTATTGGGTGACAATCGTTAGCAAAGTTACATAGATTTCATGTGTACAATTCTGCAATACATCATCTATATATCACATTGTGTGTTCACCGCCCAGAGTCAGTTCTCCTTCCATCACCATATATTTGATTCCATTTACTCTCATCTACCACCCTCCCCCCTTACTCTCTGGTAAACACTAAACTATTGTCTGTGTCTATGAGTTTTGTTTCTTCATTTGTTTTTCTTGTTCTTTCGTTGTACCCTGCTTTCTTCATAGGTGTGTTCCAAATTCAATAGACAATGGATGTAAAAGTGCTTTGAAGAGGTACAAATAACAACAAAAATACAGAGTAGATGTAAGTCAATGAATAAATGAAGGATTTTACCCACCATATACCTGTTATAACAGATGAAGGACGGTAGTAAAATGGTTTTCTACACTTGAGGTCTTTGAAGATCTTGGGCCAGAATCCCACTTTGTATGAACGGGAGAAGGGTCTCTTAACTTTTGATTAATTGTGTACTAAATTAAACCCTGAGGATACAGAAATGAGCATGGCCTGATCACTCAAAGGGATAGAGAAGGAGAATTAGAGGAGGTGAGAGGAAGAAGTTCACAGAAAGTAGAGTTTGTGAGCCAAAGGTCCCAGTGGCAGTGGAAGTGCTGAACCACACTGATGGAAATAGCAGAGCTAAGAATGAGAGTGGTCCAAAGGGCCAAGAAACACTAAATGGGTGGGATTAAATTAAAAGAGTTTAATCTTCAAGTAAGCTGACGTCCACAAAGCTGTGGGTTAAAAGAGGCATTTATTCTCCCTCTGGGGTTCAGTGGTTCTAACTGGGCGAGGATCCATTTTTGTGTTTTGAGTTGTTTTGTTTTGGTCTTATAAAAAAAGATGCAATAAAGGGATGTGATTTCCTACCTGAAACAAAAATAGATTAGGGAAGGGCAAATGGGACTCATTTCATAGCATAATCTCATGATAATGCACAGAATGACCTCACCTGGGAAGGCGCTGTGTGTAAACTCACCAGCGGCCAGGCAAGTTGGCAGGAGTTAGTGGTAGACAGGGTCTCGTTGAATGATCTCTAAGCAGCACAAGGTTTTGCTTTCCTTTGATGTGATTTAAAACATCCTTTTTAGTTATTCTTTCTCTATTCCCAAACTGCCTTTCCCAACCTGCCTCTTGGTTGATTCTTGTCTTCCCAGCAAGAAATAAACACTTGATGGGTGAGTGAATGATCCACTGGGTTTCTAAAGTGCAATTCTGTTAAAATAACACTCCTTAGGGCTTAATGGGTTTCATTTGGTTAAGTGTTTGAGGTGTTAGAAATGAAAAGTATTGAAAGGAGTTGAGGGGACTGTTATTGCCATTTGGCGGCAGAATAAGAAAATTACATGTAAATATTCAGTTCTTATCAATCAACCAACGCAAATAATAATCTTTTTTGTTTTTTTTGTTCTGTGGCAGGTTTTTTTTTTGTTGTTTTTTTAGTTTTATGATGACTGTATGTCCTGGTTTACCTGGCCCAGTCTTGATTTCACCTAATTCTATTCTGTTCAATAACACAGGCAAGCACATTCCTGCTAAATAAAATCTATCTTTCATATGTCAAGAATCCTTCATCAAAAATAGGTATTCTGAATTCACACTTGGAAAATATCATCACTGCCTCTATAGCAAATGTCTCTCATATGTGGAAATAGATGTAAGTATCTGTATACATTATTCATGACACAAAATTTATTATCAAAGATCAAGTAACATTGCTTCCATAAGATATATGCCAGGATATGGAAACAATCCTGTCTTACCCAGTCTGTCTTTATTTTTATCTTACACTGCTTGCCTCTATTCTTAATCATAGGGTTTTCACATTGTTGTCATCTAGCTAAACAGTAAAATGGAGGGAAAGTTTAACTTATTGACCATACTAACTGCAAACTATCAATTCATCTATTTTGCAATAGGAGGAATTACTGACTTGTAAGAATTATGTAGTTTGAAACAATATTTTTCTTCATTAAGTACTAAAGAGTTTATATGATGGGATTAATGTATTCCTAGAACTTATTAAAAGGGAGAGTAATAATTATTTGGCATGTGTTGTAAACATTATTCAGTTGCTTATAATGAATATATTTATGT